CTTGAGACGGCTGTTCCACTGAACCATTTTTAGCTAGTCTGCTGACCGCCACACCTCATGGACCTTCCTGTATCCCCATGCCTCAGCACTGGGGTTAAAGACATACAGCCATTCCAGGCGTCTACTGTGGGTGTTGCGGGTCTAAACCCAGTCTTCCTCATTAAGCCATCTCTAGCCTGAGGTGTGTGATCATGAAAAAGGTTTCTGAACTTTCTGCATCTCCATCTCTCTACCTCTAAGATGGAAGGATCATAATGGCAGCAACACACACACACACATACACACACACACATACACACATACACACATACACACATACACACACACACACACACATACACACACACACACACACACACACACACACACACACTACACACATGGCAGGCCTGTTGGGAAGTTAGTGGGTCAATCTGGGAGGATGGTTCAGCCACTTGACATGGGATGCTAACTGCTGGCTAGAGTCAGATTGGGCAGGGAGTATAAGATGGCCCCCGGGTCTGGCCTTGAAGGCCTTCAGTCGCCTTCTGGAAAGCTGTGGTGGGGGAGTGCGCTCACCTGGAAGCGATGGAAGTCCTGGGGCTTGAAGTCGTTGGGAGAGCAGCCACACCAGTCCACAATGTGCTTGTACTGGCACTTGCAGCCCAGCTTGCGGTTCCAGTTGGTGATGCGCAGGTTGTTGTCCACCATGGTGTCGCAGTGGGGGCTGTTCTCCAGGACCGTGTGGAAAAAGGACTGCAGAGGAGAGAAAGGTCCAGCCTGAGAACCAGGCACAACCAGGTGTGTTGGGTCGGCATGTCCTTCCTGAGGACCACCAAGTGCGAAGGGCTCCCCAGGGCACCAGTGTCAAATCTCCCCGAAGGCACACAGCATCAGCTGCCACACCAGTCCTTCCCAGGATACAGGTGTTTGTTTAGTCTTCACTGGCTAATTCCACTTACAGGTCTAATGCCTGGAACACCCCTTCATTAGTGCCTAGAATCTGACATGAAGATATCTGTCCATTGTCACCCTGGACATCTGCTGTCCATGTAACAAACAGAGAGGGTTTCTCAGGATGTATCAACAAACAGGGACCAGAGGCAAACATGGGGGACAGCGTCTCAGGAAACTCTGCGCTGCAAGGGCTCTTGCTTGCAAAGAGCCAGACTAGAAACCAACAGGTCAGGTCTGAAATAGATGGTAACGATGGCCAGTGAGCTGGGGTTTCACCTCTGGATGAGGAAGGTCCACCCATAAAGTGCAAACGCAGTGCAGGGAAGGGCAGGACTGCCCACTCACCATGGTGACAAGCCAAGGTCCATCGCTTTCACTACAACACAAGAAAAGACGGGTGGGAGGGGTGCTGCCGTAGGCAGTGCTGGACCAGGAGCTACTGTGCTGGGCTCACAGTGGTTAAACTGAGTATCAGGGGGGAGGGTTCCTGTCCTTGGTGATGAATCAGGAGCCCACATAACACAAAGGTGGGCTGCAAGCTTTCTGTGGTAATGAACCAGGACTCTCGAGCATTTCTTTCAAAACCTCTGATAAAGAAGTAACGCTGGGAGTAAAAGAGACAGAGAGGAGACACAATGTTTGGTTACAGCCACTGAGATGCTGAGAGAGAGAGAGAGAGAGAGAGATGAAAAAGAGAGATTTCTATTTCAACACTATTTTATAACGATCTCTGCCAACCAAAGAATACATTTTCTTCTGGGCTCTGGTCCCCCAGGGAAGTTGTTGGTGGATGTGTGTCTGACGGTTGCAAATTTATGGACACAGCCTTTAGATTTCTTCTGAGCCCCGGAGTTGCCTAGGAAAAGAACAAGCAGGCAGACCCAGCACAGTGGAGGAACAGGGTCTGACTGAGCCCCCAGGGACAGGTTTTAGTGCTGAGGTAGGGGTGGGGAAGCGAGTGTACTCAGAGCTTCGGGGTACCGACGGTGTGATGCTCAGAACAGCCAAACTCCCTGAGAATCTCTTCTAAATAGATGGATGGGCAAAATGAAGCTCCACCTGCCACTCAGCTCCACTCACTTGCCTTCCTATGATGCTAATGACATTGGCAGGGGACCTGGATTTAAACTTGAATTGTCTACAAGCCCACAGAGGCACCTCTCTTCCATCAAGCAGTAGGGAAAAGTACCCAATTACCAATTGCCCTGTGTCCTTTATAATGACGCAGAAATTCCCTGCAAGATAATGGATGAGGAGGTTATCAGAATGGAGAGAAAAGGTGATTTTCGCTGAAATAGGATTAAAAGCTGATGACTTAACATGTGCGCAGAATAGTAAAATCTGCCTCAGGGAGGCTGGGCTTCTTGCATGGAGGTATGAGTGGACATCCAGCTCTCCCCAAAGCTGGCCCGTGCCCTGATAACACATGGGAACCATACACTGAGATGTGAGGTCGGTTCCAGGCTGTGTGATCAGAGCTCAAGGCCCAGGAGGGGTGAAGCAGAGAACCACACATGAGCAGTACCACAGGCTGCATAGGAATAGACCAAGCACTAGGGTTTTCCTGAGGTTAAAGGTCAGGAAGACAAACCTAGACGCGCTCAGCTCAGATCCGATAAAGTGGCTTCTAGCATGTGGTGGGCGACAAAATCAGGATGTGCCCGGCTGCTTTAGGATGGGCTGGAGCCTCATGCACCATGGGCTGCACCGTGATGTGACCAAAGATTCGGGGGATTGTTCGGTATGCACCACAGGAATGGCTGAGCCCTCAGCATTTGGCCATGATGGCTGACAATGAAAGAGATCCATTTGGCTGTCTCAGGGCGATTTTGGATTAAGTGTGTGTGTGTGTGTGTGTGTGTGTGTGTGTGTGTGTGTGCATGTGCGTGTACAACGAAGACAGCACTATCAAGGAGTGACAGGAGTGACAGGACTGTATTCAAATGAAAAAAGGGATTACTGGCGCCGAAAATGGTTATTACTTTACTGCGTGATTGATGACTGGAGGATGTGTTAAAAGTTGACGTGGCTGTGTCCTGGAACTGCTAGCAGGCACTGCACAATTCCAAAGAGTGTCATCAACAATCAGAGGGTTTACAATTTTGACACTTTTTTTTTTTTGGCTGCAAAATAGCAGTAACATCTTTTTCTAGAAAAATCAGAATATTGGATTATTTCTATTACAAACAGGCTGAGTGCCTTGAACAAAGGCTGCTTTTTGTACTTTGCACACACAGAGACCATGCAGGCTATTGGAGCATTTTTGGCACTCTATGTGTACCACAATTCTTGATATGAGGTCAAGGTCTGCAAGGACCTCCTGCATTGTCTGGTGGTTTGGGGGATGGTTGGCGGAGCCAGGGTCACACTGCCAAGTAGTCACTCTCTCCTAAGGCTATACCTGGTTCCCCTCCCTCCCCCACCCTGGATCTTTCCTAGAACTTGCCTCAGCGGGAAGGAGGGTGTATGAGTAGAACTGTTTCATCTTGGTCACCAGGTCATCTGTGGAAAATGCCACATACTCCACGAACTTCCGGTTCAGCAGGAACCAGTCTGAGCCACCATCCACGGCGATGCCCTCTGGGATCCGCCGGTCCCCCAGGCGCCACATGTGTGCATCACACTCCAGGAAAAGACGGTCCAGGCCCTGTTTCCGGATGAACCTAGGTGAAACAGATTGTCCTTGAGTACCTGGGTAAGAGAGATCTTCCTAGAGCCCAAAGACACCACCATGGCAGTCACCGAGTTTACTGAGAACCTTCTGTGTGCTCAGCTGGGGATTTCATGTGCAGTGAGGCAGGGTATAACCTACGTAGCAGGGATCTTCTTACCCTATTGGATGGAAGAACCACTAAAGACTGCTAAAGCCCAGGGAACCTACTGCAGCTACCCAGCAACGTCAGTCTCACCTCTGCTTCTCTAGAAATCCCTCCCAGCAGCTGTTTAGCTGTTGCTGTGGCAGTTTTATCAATGGAGTAGGTGGGCCCTCACCTGAGGACAGTGCTATGAAATTCCTTCACACACACACACACACACACACACACACACTGACATAACTCAGTTGGTAAAATGCCTACATAGCATGCATGAGATCGTGGATTCAATCTCCAGTTCACATGAACCTGCCTCATGGCACGAAACTATCTTCCCAGCACTCAGAAGGGAGAGGCAGGAGGCACATACATTTAAGGTTTTCCTTGGCTGCTTGCTGAGCTCTGAGGACAGCTTGGAGCTTGGGGTTGATACACACACATACAACACACAAATTCAGATTCCCAGGTGTCTGCATTGGGAGCCTTATGGGATATAAGCTCCATGTGAATACCTAGCTCATTAGAGAAAGGCTCATCCTCTGTTCTCCCTGCTTCCCATGCTTAGCGCATGGTAGGTGTTCAATAAAGGCTTGTCCTGAATAAACTGAAAATTCAGGAAGAACGTGTCCTTATAGCTCTGCTATAAAAGCCAGAACAAAACCATGCTACGTTAGTATTAAAAGTTCTTTTTTAACTCAGCACTTGGGTTGAAACCCAGAGCTGGAGCATGCCTGGCAGGTACTATACCACCGAGCTGCAGCCCCTGTTCAGGGCTGGTTCTTGATTCACACATCATACATGGGTTTGTTAAATATTTTGGAAAAAAAAGTTAACACTTTTGGGTATTTCATTAGCACACTAAATGACAAGATGTAGTGGAATCCTGGCACGTCTAATAAGTAGTTTTGTGGAAGCAATGGGCATAAATTATGCCTTGAGGCATCTATGCTGACTAGACTGTGATAGGAGACTTTGTAATTCCAGTCTGTGACTAATTCATTTTTTTTGACCACTGGTATTGGTGTGGTTTGATCCTTACAGGATCTCAGGTTGCATTTGGTGAAAATAAATAAAAGGAACCTCTTAGCTCTTCCCATACAAACACAAAATTGATACTCTGATTTCTGTGGTAGAATACACACACACACACACACACACACACACACACACACACACACCTCACTCAGGACTATGCATGGCGGATTCTTCTCCCCATCTCTCTGCCTCCCTGTGTGTGTCTCTATCTGTCTCTGTCTCTCTGTACAGCTAAAAAAAAATCAAAGCTCTTTAGCTGAGATATGAGGAAATGGGTGTGTTTGGAGTGTGGACAGAGCTACAAATGAGTTTTCTTCTTGAACTTTCAGTTTGCCCAGAGTGAGCCTTTAGTGAACACCTGCTGTGTGCTAGGTATGGTTCTAGGTGCTCATGGGGTCAAGCCAAAGGAAGGGCCAGCCTTACTCTAATGAGGTAGGCATCTGTCTGCGTGGCGCTTACAGCCCAGAAGACCTCCAAAGCAGGGGTTTTTCTGCTGTTCCAAGTCTTCTGAGCCATGGACCAGTCCAGGAATCTGGATCCTTGAAGTTCAGATTAGCAACCCTTGGTGTGAATCTTCCTGCCATGCCTGCAGCCTTCCTGCTCCATGTTTGGCTGATCACTCTTCCAAAGACACACAGAGGACTCACAGATAAGCAGAACCCACCAGAACACCCAGGTGCCCAGAAGATCCAGGCATCCAGTATCCCTGGTCTTATTCTTTTCCTAATGAGTTCATTCATAAAGTCCCATTCTTCCTGAGCAGTCCAGTGAGAGCTGTTCATTATAGTCACACTATCATTTCCACAGAAGCATAACTGGATGGTGAAAGGAAGCCCTGAGATTTGAAATATCAAATCCTGCCTTGACTCTGGCTGGCTACTAATAAACACACAATAATTTCCAGTGGCTGCACAGGACCATGCTAAAAACTTTAATTTCAGATAACTTATGTGAAAATTCATATGGAAACCATCTCTCAGAGAGATGGGTGAGAGGCTTAGTAAAGTCCTCTAGCCACGGAGCAGCATTTAAACTCCTCATCCCATTATGGGCTAATAGCATCTTTTTGTAATTTTAATGCGCCCTCCTAGGTCATAATACTCAAATGCAATATTCATGTGCAAGTCATCTCCAAAATGAAATGTTCATGACCTTGTGGGATTGGGCTCTATGTTTACTTCCATTCCAAAAAGAATAAGCTGCAAATATGTGCTTTGGTTATAAGATGAGTAAATAAATACAACCTATTTGTTAAACCTAAGAAAAGTTTCTCATGCCACAGGGACGACCTAGCACTTTTTTTGAGTCAGGATTTAACTTTTAAATTTAAATTTTCTCCATCCTGTGCATTCACCATAACTTAAAAGATAAAAGGTAAAGTTGAAAGACAAGTTAAGTCTAAAGGCACCCTCTTTATAGGTGCTGGTGCCTGTCTCTCTCCCCTGAGGGCCAAGTACTATGTAATAGTAATGTACAGAAGGGGACCAGGGATGCTTTCTGTTCATCCTCCCAATTTTATTTTTCATTGCCATGGTTACCATGGGGCATCTAAGCAACAGGTGGTGCCAAAGCAGCATAGGTACTATGAAGAGCCAGGTACTGATCCTAGGTCAGCACATCTCCATGAACCTACAATGGGAGTCCCCACAGCCTCCCAAAGGAGATACCCCTGAAAGGGCTTTGCAAAGCATTTAGTAAGCACTGGTCACCCTAGCAACGAGCAGGGGCAACCATCAATCGACTCTCTCATAGGTGACACCCCTTTCCCCATTCTTAGAATCCTCAGTCCTTTCCATGCTTTATTGTGATTCACCACATCTTCTTTCTCATATGCAAGGTTCTTGTTTAGTTTCTCACCTCTTTCTGCTCATGAGATGTAAATCTCGAGACAGCAGAGTTGTTTGTCTTTGGTTCTCTGCTGTAACCCCTAGAACAATGCATTCCATATTCCACATACTCAGCAAATGTTTTCTCAAGAGGTGGATGAACAACAGAAAAGGCAGGAGCCACAAACAGGAAGTTACAGAAATGACACAAAGATACAGAAATGACACAAAGAGGTACCCACGCTTTTCCTCTAACATGTCATGTGCAGCAGATGTATTAGAGCAATGGCACTCTGAAAGCTTGAGTAATTTCAGCCAGGCTTGGACATTTCAGGACTTGGGAAAGTGAGGCAGGAGGCTTGCCTTGAACTCAAGGTCAGCTTGGGTTATACAATGAGTACCAGGCCAGCAGGAGCTACACAGCAAGAAATTCCCTCAAACAAAACAAGACCAAGAAAGGTTAAGTAATTTCCCAAACTCACAGAGCTAGCGGTCTTGAACTTGACTCCAAGCCAAGCTCTTGATGTTTTTATTATCCTTTGCTGTTTCAGTTCACCAGGACCACTCCCAAAGGGACAGAAATGAAGGATCCGAACATTTTCACTGCCTCAAAGAGACAATGAATAGAGTCTCATCTTGTTTGGAAAGGAGGTTTTTCTGGGGGCCCATTAGGACTTGCACCTTCAGGATGGGCTTCCTGAATTTCAGATAGAAGCACTTGCATTCAGTTTTGCTTCCTGAGTTCTGAGAAGTGTGTGGCTTACCTTCCAAGGTTTATTTTTACTTTTAATATAGGACCAAGACCAAGCTAAATAGACTTGACCAGGTCTCAAGGGACCAGATTCTAACAGCTGAGAAGGAATGTAAGTCACACATAGGGTCTTGATTAAGTCATAGGTGTCCACATGTCCCTGGGGGAGAAGAGGTCAGTGATGAAGGAGGGTTCCACTGTGTCACCAGGAGTAGTTTCCTTTTCTGCACATTTCAGGACTGTATGCTTGGAATAGCCACCAAGTGTGGGCTATCCCAGGACCTTCTTGTGAGTTCTAAAAGGTTGGAGGCTGTCCCTTAGGGCCTACAATGTGGCTGAAAAAAGCCACTAAGGTAACTAATTCTACTGTTGAGCAAAACAAACAAAGAGAAAAGCAACCGAGACCTAGAGAGGATGAATGATGTTCCAGAGCTGCATTCCTCGACAATCTGCTTTACATTTTCCCTGGCAAGCACCCAGTCATGGGTCCTCTCAAAAAAAAAAACAAGCTAGAGATTTTACTTAAAACATATAGCCAAGGGTTGAGCCACAGTTTAGCTGGAAAGGTGCTTGTTAGGTAAGAAAATGAGGTCTCAAGCTCCACCTCTAGAGATGCATGTAAGAAGTCAAGTGTGGTGATGCACATCTGTAACCCCAGTGCTCAGAGGCAAGGGCTGGCGGATCCCTGGGCTTTGTGCTCAGCCAGCTGAGCCTAACCAGTGAACTCTATGCCAGTGGCATGCTATCTCTTGAGAAACACCCAAGGTTGGCCCCTGGCATCCATATGAATACACGCGCGCGCACACACATACACACACACACACACACACACACGCATGTACCTGTGTTCACACCCCATCCTTCATAGCCGCACATGTATCTTCACACACACGAATACACAAATAAGTAAAAACAAAGCCATGGAATACACCATGATATCCCACAAAGTCTGCAATCAGTCAACCAGCTGACATGCTCGCACATTACAGCCTTTGGTAATATGTAACACGCAATACAGTGACAGACACTGGGAGCCAGGGAGCCAGGCTCTCTGGCCTGAGGTCCATGTCTGGGACTAACCCCACACTCCCTCAGTCATGCGCTGCTCCAATATCTCAGTTGGAGAAGAGTGACTGAAGCAATGCCTGCCTCAGAGAGTTAGTGTGATAGCTTAACTAAGATAGGAGAGGGCTTAATGCAGGACTGGGCATATAGGCAACACTCCATTCTCTCTCTCT